TTGAATTACGGAGTAATTTGTGTGTCTGAAATTGAAGCGTTTTCGAGTTTTCACTCCTTTCTTGAGATATCGCTCGTTTTTTCCACATCTTCCCTCTTTATTATTACAAATAAATACTAGAACTATTTTCTTATCAACCCACTGCATTTATTTTACACATCATTACCAAAAATGTCGGATGTTTTATGGAAAGATTCAATGGTTATAGAATTTTATTTAAATGAGGAGAATTTTTGTTGGGGCAGAACAATTAACATAATTTTTTATTATTATTTATTATGTGCCATGAGTGAGGGTATGAAAAAATAGTAGGACTTTTCCAAATGAAAATTGATACTTTGGCACTACATTTTGAGTAGAGTTGCGTTATTCCGGTATTGTAAACATACACCCAGTATAAATGCAACTGAAGTCTCAATTTACCCTGAAGTTCGGCCGATAATGCGACATAATGGTGTGTCCCCTTATCCCCAGGCTGGAGATCCTCGAAACCCTCCCCCACTCGACCATCTCGAGTTCCCTTTGACATTTACGAGGTGTTTTATACGATCAAAAGCGCGCCGTAACAATTATTCGGTGATTTTCCGACCATAAAATTTTCCCTCGACCCTCTGCTAACCAAATGGGGGGGAAAACCCAGGGGGAGGCTGGAATTGTTATCACTGATTTCATCTGTTTAACGTTCCCGTGTCAACCAGAATGTTTTTAAGTACTTTAATGCCATTCTTTAACGACTTTTATGACAACTCCAAATTTTATTTTTCTCTGGGCGAAATAAATCGTCAGAATACCCTTTTTGTTTAGGCAAAAAAAATTTTGTACGGACAGTTTGAGGTTGAAGAGGGCCACCCTCTCGCATACCCCTCAGGAGTCGGGGGTGGATCGCCCTACGGAGACGTTTACGACGTGTTTTACGCGATCAAAGCGAGCTGTAACAATTATTGAGCGATTTCTCGCCACTAAAATTCAGTTCAACCCCTCGGCATTGAAGGGATGAAGGCTATATCGGAGTTTAAAATTTCGGTGACCTTTCTAAATTTTATTCAATTATAATCTTCCCCTCAAAATATTCCAAAAAAATATTATAATGTAAATAAATTACTCCGCGAAAATATTAGCCCGAAGAATGTTAGAAGTACGAGATATTACGACATCATTCATTTTTTTTAATCATTTATTATTTTTAAAAATATTGACGCAATATTTTTTTCAGTTGTAATATTTTTTGCTGGAATTTTTCGAGGCAATATTTTGGGTTGTGCCATTTTGATAGGTAACCGAAATTTATCCCTCCGACCGGGGACTCATCGGTATACGCCTATACCCTGTCTTCTGCAATATCCAATCGAAGTGAGTGCTCCCACGGGACTTCTCACTCCCTCCACTCAATTAACTTTTTTAACCAAACTCGATTATCATATCGGTCAATTTTAATACACGTCGGGCCCACTAAATATTTCACATGACTTCAATTTCAAATTAAAATCCCACATCACATTATTTGGGGATGGAAATTTCATTTCTTTTGGCAAATAATTATCACTGCAGATGACTATATATAATTTACTCATTCATGTGACGGTTGTAGCGTTAATGGAATAGTTATCATTATTTAATTATCGTTGAGAATTCAATCAGTTGGTATACATTTTGGAATAGTGAATGGAGACCGGAAAATTACGCATTTGTTAAATTCGGAAAAAAATCTTTATGATCATTATTTTTTATAAAAAAATTGAAAAAATTTCCATTGAATTATCTAGGTTCAATAATTCGAAATCTATAATTAAATTAAACATTTCTTTGAAATTTCTATTCTCTGAAATTTCTCTCTAATTTCTCTTCTTACAAATCAATAATTCTAATGATGACAAATAGCAAGTACTAGGTACAGTGTTTAAATAATTTTATCCCACTTTTCAACAAAAATTGAAAAAAAGTTTTTTAATTCGTGATGAATAAAACTAAATATTGAACACGCAATGTTAAAAATTGCCCGACGAATTCAGGAATTGGGGGAATGAAGATTTTCATGCTTTCTCATTTTTTCGGACGTCGAATCAGTCATCCATTTTTCCCATAAAAAAAAATTGATGGAGAAAGAACGGATGAGACAACCTGAATCAGTGGAGGGCCTACGGATATTATTATTGCCGGGTGTCAATATCCCGTCGCCCTGGAGGATTGACACGACCCGGAGAATCCCAGGGTCCTCTCTCCCTCATTCCCGAAGGATTTTATCCCGAAATGAACGAGAAAAAGTGAACGGGCGGGGGCTTTTCGAGGTGCGAAGACCCTTAACATTTTCCCTCGGCTTTACCAGCATCCTCTCATTCCCTTATTCCTCTTATTCCTACTCCTCCCACTTCTTTCTTTTCTCCGGATGCGATTGCATTCCTCGTCAAGTCTCCGAGGAAAACCTTGGGAAATTGAATTTTCTAAAAGCCTTACGCCCCTTCAACGAAAATGTACAAAAAAATATTTCCTTCCAATCTATATTTTCACCCTCAAAACTCACGCATTATCTATTTTCATTCATAGAACTGATATTCATTCTTTAATCTGTTGCTTTACAGGCAAAGATTTTCTTTTATTTTTGTATTAATAAGCTTTTAGTTTTATTCATCACACACTTCCCATTTGCATTTGCATTCGGGTTTTTACATTTAGTCCCCATCCCTCACCCATCATAATAAAATTATAATAATTATACAAGTTATAGAATTTTCTTCTTGAGTAACAGACATGTTACATTCGTAATACGTAATACGTAATTTCCCGTAATATCTTACATAGTTCCACAGTTTATGCTTCATTAACACTAAAAAAAATTAACGTTTAATATAATCTTTACTATTTAGTATATCTCGATAAATTTCATGAAATAATAACTCCATTTTTTTCCGCGTTCGTCGATACCATTTCCGGGCTCTCCCCTCTTTATAGTAAAAGTCTAGCAAAAATATCCAAAAAATGGAGAAATGTTTAGCCATTGGTTATTGCTTCGAATAATAGGAGGTATTGTTTGATCTGCACTATTATTTTTTGGTCAGTGGAAAGCTCAGTATTAAAGTCCGATCCCCTATAAACACATGATAATTCACCCACTTACAATTGGTAAGTACTGAGGCATATGGAGGATGAGCAGAGTAGTGCAAAGTAAAACTGTTGGGGTGGATGGGGTGCGTTGGACGGGTGGGAGCCCGTGGCAGACCGTTTCAGTCGTAAAATGTTAACTGCCAGTAAAACTGAGTTTACGCGCTTGTAAGGGCCCTCTAGTAGGAAAACCATACAGGGTGGATGTACAATGTACTGAGAAAGATAGTGTATGAAGTGATATAGTCTCTTCCCTCTTGAAATCCTCCACCTCCTTGTGGCATAGTTACGCCCTGGTGGCCTAATAGTTGGATTATTGGGCATTAAGTCCTCCCCTCTGATTGTCTCAATTCCACTATTCGTTATTTCATTCAATTTATACGGTAAATTATTGCACATAAACAACTCCATGTCGATAGTTTTCATCGGGGCGTTTTAATTAAAACTCCCTGGAAGTTATCGGTGGAGAAGAATTCCTCGTTGTAATGCTCGACATTTCTTTTCAGTTCACAGTTTTAAAGGGCTCTCTCGACTCTCCTCTCCCTTGAGACATTTGGATAATTCTCATTCACCAACTTTGGAAATTTTACTTCGCTTTTAATTGTTACACGTCGTATAAATGGATTAGAGGAGTGAATTCATTACACGGGCCCTTAACGGTGACGTGTCAATTGCTAGATTTATTGATTCGATTGGAATCATTTATGAAATTCTATTGTTCATTTCAATTTATCTGAAAAACAAAAGCAAAAAGGATTCCCTGAATTTTTATGATTTCTATAGATTTTCACTTTTTTTTCAATTCAATTATTTTTTAGGGTAAACCCATTATTTCTAAAAAATAAAATTATTATTCGTCTCATCACTATGTAACGCAGCGATTAATAATTTCGGTTTCTGAAAATCCTCTTTTTTCCTAAAAAATAATTAGATTAAATATTTCACTACTATGGTAATGTTGCATAGCCACATAAATTAACATTTTTTTCTTTCTCTTCGGAGGTATGGTGCATGGTACATCTGCCAATTATATTGCAATTAATAAACTGCCCCAATTTTGAATGCACCTGTGTAGTGAACTATCGTACTCTGGATATAACAATATGTAGACAATTTCTCGGATATTTTTGTTTTTTGGATAACTCTTTAGACTCGCCTATAAATTTCGCGCGAAGTGCAATGAACATGATTGACGACACCAACTGTCAAATTTGTTAAATGCATCGCCCTAAAATTAGACTGATTGGACGGTATGTACCGTAGAAAATTCAGTTGATAGCAAGTAAGATGTGTGTGTGAGTACATAGAAGGAAACATGTACAGCCCCATGCGGGTAAGACGTCGGCGGTGGGTAGAACTCCCAGCAGCGAGCGTTTTTATAGCTCGTCCAGCTCCATCACGCGCCGTAAAAGTACAATAAAACCGCTGTTACCGCACATAGAGAAAACCCACCCACTCTAAACCACTGCGTACAGCAAAACCCTCACCCTGAAAAAGAGATAGCGAATGAGAGAGGCGAGTGCTAAGAGGAGGAATAGAGCGCCATAGAATGTCGATTTCGAGCACGAGAAAAAAACGATGGGGAGAAAACACTGAAGGGGTGGGAAGGGGGGTTGAAAGGGATAGGGCATACTCGATGGATAGTGAAATTGATTCTTTTATGATTCGACAAACGTGCGAGTGGCGTGGAAGTAAAACGACTGTCGATTCTTGATATTTTCCCAGTGAATCTTCTCTATTTTTTATCATTCATTGCGACGTTTATCTAAACTCCAACTCATTCTTTACGTTACTGTCCTTTGATCCTGTTTTTTTATTTCACTCAACTGGTCACTGATACTTCGGTTTTGTCGTTCAATGCACGAACTCGTTATTTATTTGTATTATTTTTTTTTTATTTGCAGTGCTGTCCCTGAGGAATACCCAAGAGGATGAACCACCAGATCCCCAGTTGATGAGGTTGGATAATATGCTGGTGGCTGAGGGTGTTGCTGGTCCGGAAAAAGGTGGTGGTGCTGGTGCAGCAGCTTCAGCATCAGCAGCTGCTGCTGCTGGACCTCAGGGCCAACCGGACAATGCCATTGAGCACTCTGACTATCGTGCCAAACTCGCCCAAATTCGACAGATTTACCACCAGGAACTAGAGAAATACGAACAGGTAGACTGAAAAAAATATATCTTTTCTATACAGTTGATTGATGGCGTGAAGTGTTCTGTAATAATTACAGAACTTGACGTTCGCTCACTCATTGGGGAATTTCTCACAGAAAATTCAGACAAAAATCACTGAAAATTTCTCTCTGTGTTTCAATTTCCCAAACAGTGATAATAGAGTAAAGGTAAAGATTTAGAGGAAAGGACAATGAAATTTTTGGGTTTCCCTGAAAATTCAATGAAATTTTCAAATTATTGGATACATGAAGATGAAAATTTCTCAATTTATTGAAACATTGGATGTAATATGAATATTCATTGTCAACTTTATATTCCTTTAGATCGCCATCTGCCCTTTCTGGTTTTCCATTCATTTTCTATTCGATATTTCCCCGATAAAAATTCTCCGAATTTGGCGACGAAAATTCAGATAAAATTTTTTAACAGTCTAGGTTTTACGATTTTATTTTGCATTCCCAGAAATCCATTCATTGCAATCTGCCTTTAGAAACAATAAACTCGTTATATCCCCAGCATAAAATACATTTGAAAAATGATACACAATATTTATGAGACATAAACCGATCAATTTTATCGATTTTCAATATTTTAAAAAATGTAATTTAAGAAAAGTCCAATTAAATACGAAATACCATTCAATTGAATTGACGTAGAAATGCAAAAAAAAAGTGGAAAGCCTCCGCAGTTATTCAATTATTCGGTTTCTTCTTTGGTTAATTGAATGGGTAACGATTTCGTTGAATAGAATATGATTTTCGCGTTGGACTTATTTCGTTGGATTTATAGGAGGCTCTCCACTGACTAGTTAGTCTCCCTTTGGTGCTGGGGCAAATTCCAGCGATAAGAAAACGTAATTTTCGGTGAAGGGGCTTTAGTTAGAGGGTAGACAGAATGCAACGGCGATTTGCGTGCTAATGAACCGGCGCTTGCGCTTGCCTAAGTAAAATCTCGCGTGTCGTGCCATCGTGGAACAACGAGATACGAGTATCGCGTGCCGTCTGGCTCTCACTTCGACGTATAATGCATACCTGGGATATCTTTTCACGTGACAACCAAGGTTTCATTTCAAACGAGATAATTTCGCTAAACCTCCGCTGATTTGGTCTTTCCTCTTGTTTTATCCGGTTTTTTTTACATTTTTTATTTGCAACATTTGAATTTTAATCGTGTCATTCACCCAGTCCACCAAAGAAAAAATGATAAATTGCCAATAAATTATTGAATCTAGCCTAGCCTTTTTAATTATGAACGATTTAATCAAAATAGTCAGACTGTCCTGTGGGTAATTAATTATTCCACTCGCGACATAAGTATTAATAACACTCAGTCAACATTAAACATTGTTTTCTCAATTAATAATCCGTTTAATAGAACAGCATAATTTTTACTCCCGAAATTATCAATTGAAAAATTGATATTCAATAACGAGTTCGTTAACATCTCTCAATCTAAATTCCTGTTGGTCAATTGAAAAATTAATTTGACAAAATGCCACTTTCATGTTTATTTCATCAGTTTGAATGAATTGGGGATGTCAGGGGCTGTAAGTGACATTGTGAAATTTTCTATCAACTCAGGGCCCCGAAGACGTACCTCTCGGTACCGATCGCGTGTAACCTGCACTGCAGATGGGCCAAGGGTCACCTAACGGGTGTCCTCGAATGATTTTTATGCTCGTCGTTCATCAGATGCATTTTTCCTCGTTTTTTTATAGAGGCGGAAAATATTTTTCTGCCCCGCGTGACGGAAAGTACACACCCCCCTCGTATCTCACCCAAGTGTCAGCGGTATTCATGTTTTTCCTAGTCGTAAACACGCCCACGTAACCCCCTTTGAATATACATGCACTAATGTTTAGTAGTTAAAATTTGCTGGAAAAAAATTCACTTGAAATATTAAACCACTCATGATACAGCAGCTTCAAACCATAACAATGCATTTCTCTGATGAATATATGATTTTTCACTAATTGTCTTAAAATTTTCATTCTGACCACAATTTATTCATTTCTTATAATTAGTTCCGGTCATTTTTATCGCTTCTGCAATAATTTGATGGATTAAATAAATAATTAAATTCAAACTCAAACTTCATCTAATAGTTATGCTGTTCTGTATAACGTTGCGAATGCACAAGCCATTCCCCTTCCGGTCTTCCGGAACATTTATTATGACTACAAAAAAAAGAAAAAAATATATAACAATATATAAACTCAAATATATAATTCCACTATGGTTGTAACAGTGAAGAATTTTTTTTGTAGCCGATAAAATTTTCTACAAAAATGTTTTTTCAGATTTTTTTCTGAAACAATATTTTTTTAATAAACCGGTATTAGAGGAAACGCAAAACTGGATTGATTTCCCTTTACGACTTCGCGAATGAAATTAATAGATAGAATTTATTAAAAATGTCGAATTTTCTTGCTGAATCATTGCCCTTGAATTCTCTTGAAAAAAGAATCTCAGTTGTCACGAAGGATTTTTCTCATTCATTCCTATTTCCTCCGCCGCTAGTGGGAAACACAACTGGGGGAAACTAAACATGAAATATCTCCTCGTAAGATAAGACAGGTTCTTCTAATCTTACCTCACCTTCCCCTATTGTCCGCACAGAAATCTCTCACTTCAGAAGAAACTTTTTTTTCCCGTCTATTGAGATGAAACAAGAGAGACAAAGTACAACGGGTCAGATCGTATATTCGATAAATCCAGGGGGTGACATTTTCCCCTGATTTTCCACTAAAAATATTTCGAGCTTATTCTATAGATTTTTCGATAGCACTTTCGGCACCCCAAGGCATTCCAATTTCGCAATGAGAGAATTAAAAATGAAATTGGTGATTATGTAGTAAGTTTAGATAAATCGACTCGATTCATCGGTGAAGTTATGTGAAATATCTCCGAAACCGAAAAAGATAACGGAATTGATCTGGTAATCTTTTCTGTACCTCTCACCGAGTTCTACAAAAAAGGTCCTGACAAAAATAGCATTATCTCTTTAAGATTTCAAGTTTTTGATTGGAAAACTGATTAGTAAAAAAAATCGGGTAAAGGATGTTTTGTCCACTTGGATGCAAAATGAAGTTTTTTGAAATTTCTGACAAATGGTTGATCGAATGGACGCGAAAAAACACACGATTTCTGCAATTTATAATAATTATTATTATTTAATGACTCCCTGGCATCACCATGCAATACTGATGAAATGCAAAAACGGTCCATTTTTTCGAGTCAATTCGATCAACGATTTGTCAGAAAACTCAAAAAATCAGTAATTTTGTCTAAAATAGGGCATAACACCCTTAAACCACTTTACCACGTTATTATTGAGTTAATATTGTTAATAATGGAATTCATGCGGAGAAGCTTTTTCGTGAAGAAAAGCACTTAGCTATTGAAATACTTGGGTTCTCCGATGAAAATGGAATGGTAGCTTGAGTGTAATATCTAAGAGGAAGCCATAACCATAAATACATTGAAGTTGATATTCCAACTTTATGAAAACTCATCAGATTCACAAATACTCAGGATATATTGCGTCAGGGTAAGACCAACGAGGAAATTCCATCCACGAGTGAGTGAGAATACCGACGTCTATATTTAGATGTGTCTGCATTCCTCAGTCAATTTGCAATTTTCCGAGTTTCACATCCCCGAATAATTCCACGTGAAAATTTTCAATTCTCACGTATCACTGGAGTTTAGTCTCTGAGACGATTACTCTTGAGGACATTGGAGGAGTCAATTTTTGATGAAATAGGAAAACCCCGGGAATATGAGGAAAAGCCGAATGGAGAAACGAGGGGTGTATCAGGGGGATCCATCCAATCTCACCCTCTTTTTCTCGTTTTCACCACCCTACGGCCATTCTCGGTGGCAGCAGACGGGCGCGATCCTGATCCACCCCTCCGGGCTCTGGGTGGTTTGTGGAGTATAGGGGTCCAAGGTGGGGACGCAAGAGTGGAATCCATTCCGAAATTGCAAGCCATCCGCTTTTCCATCCTCCCCAGTGTGGCTCATGCCCTCTTTTCCCCTTCAGTCTGCCCCTCATCCACGCTTTCCCCGGAGGAAAAGCTACCCAACGTCGTCGGGAATACTGATATCAACCGGGGGTATCAAGAGTCTTCCCCTTGGAAGCCGCCGTTTCGAATAATGCATTTTTTCGGGGTTCGAACATTCTACTGGATTTTCTCCTTTTTCGTATTGTTCAAGTAATATCGAAGTATTATTCCATAATATGAAACCTCATTTGACGTCAGTTCATTGTTTTCAAGAGTCTGAGAAATTTTCGATTTTTTTAGGAGACCCCATTAATGTTCAATGTTTACTTAGACTTTTTTCCATTTTTTATATTGAAATCGGGCATTAGAACAAAATGAGACTTAATGGATGTGAAATAATTATTTTCAGAGAAGTCGTTGGCTCAGTACAAATTCAAGAGAATTCAAATTTTTTAAGAAGAATAATGAGCATATTTAACCTGTATGTTTCGAATTTAATTTTTTCTCATCAATTCAGCTGAAATTTACAGCTTGGGTTAATTTTTCCGACGAATTATCGAATATATTTTTTGATTGGGAAATTCTTAAAAATTGTATTGAACCAGAAACATTATTTTTTCCAAAGGCAGAGTTACAACTTGTGTAGATAATGGAATTTCGCTCAAAGGTTCTACTGATTCATTTATTCCCTAATAATATCAATCATATTGATTATGATTGACACAGCAAATTCAATAAGTCTTCCATTTACAGGCTTGCAATGAATTCACGACCCACGTGATGAATCTCTTGAGAGAGCAGAGTCGCACAAGGCCAATTACCCCAAAGGAAATCGAGAGGATGGTGCAGATCATACACAAAAAATTCTCCAGCATCCAGATGCAGCTCAAACAGTCGACTTGTGAGGCAGTTATGATCCTCAGGAGTCGATTCCTCGATGCTAGGTTAGTTCTTCTTCTTTTTAACTCTATGAATGCTAACCATTTTACCCTTATTCAAACCATCAAGCTCTTTCAATTGTGTTCTTTTGCAGACGTAAACGAAGAAACTTTAGCAAACAAGCTTCCGAAATACTGAACGAGTACTTTTATTCACACCTAAGCAATCCTTACCCAAGTGAAGAGGCGAAAGAAGAGCTCGCGAGAAAGTGTGGCATCACAGTCAGTCAGGTAAATTCATTCAACTTTTTAACATACATCATTAATTTCCACTCATTTCTATTAAAAAAAAATTACACGTAGAGGACAATTGCATTTCATATTAACATGTATGATTCTCATATTAACAAACAAAAAAATCTGTTTCATGAAATGAGAACTCTACAAAAACATTTGATTTATTGTCATTGCCACTCATATAGAGATGACATTCAAAGAAAAACACATGGCTTTCATAAAATATAACCCCCTCAATAATAAACATTTCTTTTCCTCCAGGTATCCAATTGGTTCGGTAACAAGAGGATACGTTACAAGAAAAACATCGGTAAAGCGCAAGAGGAGGCGAATTTATACGCGGCGAAAAAGGCTGCTGGTAAGTTGTGAAAAGTAGAATCAAGTGGATGAAATATCCACCCAGATAATACGAATTACACAAACAAAAATAGTATTCTCAGGGGTAGAGAATTTATTATCTTACGAAAACATGAATTTTTATGTTTGTTCCTCTTGCAAACTTTTTTTTTACTTCTTTCATTTTCATTTTGTGAATCCCTCGTCCTTAAAAAATGGAAAAATCCTTGTATAGTACCGTGGTAGCGTGACTCTCATTATCGTAAATCATTTGGCAAGTGAGTTACAGCTCATTCACTTACCTACGTTTCTTTGTTTCCCCTCTCCTGCCGATAAATCTAATGAGCTGTTGTTCTTCGGAAGAGAGAAAAAAAAAATGGAGAGAGGAGGAGATTCTTTTGTATCCGTTGGGAATTCGAATTTTCAATAAAATTAATAGTTAGGGATTAGTGTCGATTAAGTTTAGGGTTAACTTTTTTGGTCAACGAAGGATTCACAATGAGGGAAAGAGATCTTTTTTTTATGTAGATGAAAAATAGTTAGCTACCCCTCGATCTATGTAAGCACCGCGATGGTTTCTACAGCAGCTTTTGCAGGAGCATCGCCGTACAGTATGGGCGGTGCCAGCCAGGGTACACCAACGCCGATGATGTCACCAGCACCACCAGGTGGACCTCAGGATATGGCTGGATACGGTATGGGAATAAATGGAAGTGATTATGGATCGCAACCCTACAACGACGGCTCCATGGGCTACGACCCAATGCATCAGGTAATTGAAAACTCATCGAATAATTATTATGTTTTAAATCATTGTTCATTACATTTGAGGAATGTCTGGGGTTTGGTCACGTAGTTTCGAATATTTCCTAGGATATTATTGAGCATGTTCTCTTACGGCTGTCAATAAAAAATTGACGGTATATATATTTCTACTATTTCAATTCCTACCGAATTGAATTTTCAAAAAATGAATAATGGAAAAATCTGGCGACTGAGGTAGTAAGAAACATTGAAGCACCAGAAAATAGTGAAAAACGTGGAATTATCCTCTGGTAATATTCGAGCTACGTTACTCTTATTTCCACTAGACGCATGTGCATTATCCTGCTCTCTCCATTCCTCCACAAACTCGTAGATCCCCGGAACTTTGGTGGGATTAACCGTGTGTACCTGTATCTGTCTTTATCCCTCTCAAGTACAACGTATGAAAGCACAACGTGACAGTAGTGCCTCGCTGAATAATACCAAAACCCACCCCTTGAGTTGTGTTGTTTCTCGGCAGGGGGTAGCCATAAAGATGGGCTTAGGAGAGCAACCTGAAAGAAATAGCATGAAGCTTGGAAGGGGGTTTAAAAATGTTGAGAACAACACAGCTACAATGGTAGCATTGAAGCCGCTTAGTATGCATTGAAGTTGCAAAGTCACTTTTTAGCCAGGTATCAAAGTAGCCCAGCCACCCCCTTGGTATCGATGGTATCCTCCAACTCTTCTTGAAACACCACTTCTCGGAGGTTACCACCGAAAAGCTTCTTGTCTTTAACGAGCTCTGGCTCACCCTTTAACTCCTTCCGGTTTAATCAACCCACGGAAATACACTCCACTATTTAACCATCTCATGGCAAACCAACTCACGGAAATGAAACTTGTCTGTTCCTTTCGTTTTTATTTCACGCTTCATCCTCATTCTTTGGGATTTTATCCAAGCCCCATGCAAATGAGATACAACACTGTTATACCGTTGATTTAATTCACCGCGAGGTCTATTCATAACTCACATTTATCCCTGGCATTAACTATTGCTTTTATATTATCTCCTGAAACAGTGACAAAATGTATTCCAGGCGATCTAACGCGTTTCTTGTTATTTTGGAGAGTTGGCTTTTTTGCCTCTAACCATATGAACTGTGTTTGTTGCAACGGAGATTGTTTAAAATAGAAAAAATTCTCATATGTTTTACTGAACTTTTCAATGAGCAATATGTTGAGAATAAAAGAACTTGTTTCACCTTTTGTTTTTAAATTCAGTTGAACTTTATTCGACTTCATTTGCATACTCCTCTGTACTGGCTTTTCACATTTTCCCTTTGGAAAAGGAAAATAAAATAGGGAAAATAGTCTGCATTCACGGTGTTATTTGTTTCATGGGGGACGGCAACGAATTATTATTTCTCTTAGGGAATTAACGTGGTACATTGTCACAAGCACAGTTCGCACAGTCTGGCCTTTAATAATTAGTCCACCGTAGTACTTTTATTTTATTATTTTTTTATTCCCTCAACGTAACAAGGATAGGAAAGAGATATAAATGAGTTTTAGAAAGAGTTGAGTGCAAGTTTAACAGAAAGAATGCGGGAGGTTTAAGTTAACGAACGAATGGAAGTTAACAATCGATCAAGTTTTTTTTTTCTTATTTCGGTTATCGTGTTGTTTTGCAGTGACGAGGCTTTAATGTTCCAATAATAATCATCGAGACTGGACGAATGGAGTCTCTCCGTTGCAACAAGCACTGTCGACTTTGTAGAATTGGAAAGAGTGAAATTAGATTTTTCGTCGTTATTGTGCAATATTACGTGTTTGATATTAATTTTCGGGTTATTGATACCATCTTATTATTTCCACTACTTTTGGTATTGGAGTTGTAAGAAAAGAGGCTGAAAATTATAGCTATATATTTTCTATTGAATTGCCTCGTTGAACCTCGTGAAACTATCGAAAAGTGCAATAAGATCGATCGAATAGTTGGGAATAGATTATTTCAGATTTATCGAATATTTATAGAAAAAATGAATTATCATTTAAGAATCTGCGTAGAGCCCTAGGCTATCGAGTAGCATAAATCTGCCCAGTGAATACATTTTTTGTACATAGTTTTAGATGCCCAGAGTGCGCCAAATGAAATACTGTTAAATCATTTCTCCTGAATTTCTTCAGGTTTTGAAATTTCAGAAAAAAATTCACGAAAACTGAATATTTATGGATTTAAGCAAATAAAATAAAAAAGAAAATTTTTTATTTTTATTCGTGAAGTAAATTAAGCATCAATTTTTCTGAAAGTTCATTTTTTTCTAACGGTGCAGATGGACGATAAATATTAAGTACATTGTGAGGTTGTTCTGGCGTACTCTGTGCATATGCAAATCACTCGTCGCTCTTTTGGCTTTCGTTACTCGATTGTTCATTTTTTTTTCTGTGTAATTACCGATCGCAGAGGAGGTTTACCCGATATTAATGAATACTAGAATGAAGGGGAAATTGAAATACTTTCTTGGCATGAGTGCATGTGGACTCGAAACTAGAAATGTACGTACATCATCCTCTACGAGCGGTGGGAAGGCCATATTTTTCACTACTTGGAGATAGATTTGAATTTTCCTTCGATGAGTGGAAGTCTCTGGGTGTTTGTCATGCGAATGTTGTTTTATCATTTCATCCACACTTCATTGTTTCTCCTTTTGGCAATTGGGGCAAAAATCTCATTGAATAGATAGTGAATTAGGTCTAAATTTAAATTCAGCTTTGAAGTGGAAATTTACGATCTTTGATGAATATTCTGAAATTTGTGAGAACGTACTTGTAAATTTCGAGTTTTTTTCTCGATTTGAATGATTTCATCACTTCAACCCTGGATTGAAAATAAATCTTTCGGATTAAAAAAAACAAATGGAAGGATAGAAAAACAATATGAAATAATTACACGCAGGGCAAGATGGGGGCTGGATGGATGCAGCAGCGCGATGCCGTACCAGAGTTTCCGCCTCTCCACGATTCAGCGGATTCAGATTCAGACCGGGATGAAAAACGACCACGGGTTTAGGAGGGAAATTAAACAAATTATCGAGAAAAATAACAAGTAACACAGATAAACAAAAAAAAAACAGAGTATAATGCAAACGAAGGGATATTCATAGAGCAGGAAGAGCGAGATGAGGGATGAAAAGAGTTGCCAACGCACGAGAAAATGAAAAAGAAAGTGCATTTGGAAGTGGTGAACGCACTCGATCGCACATTTTTTTAAACACAAGAAATGATAAATAACACAGACAGAGGAACCAACACAAGAGCACGCACACAGGCCCCCACTTCCTCCCCACGTACTGTTATCATTTTAGTTGGAATGGTTGAAACAGAACTTTTGTGACGATGGAAATTTCATCGAGACATTCACACGAGTGTCTGTTTCTCTAGAATAAGACAATACGGAGGATAAAAAACACATTGTATACGATGATACACCGAGAATTCTTATAATACAGCTGAACTTGTACCATTCGATTGATTCATGCTCACCTGTCTGTTGCCATGCGTTACTCTCGTTTTTTCCCACACAATTGTCCATCATTGAAAAAATATATTCATTTGATCTACGCCTAGCTATTGAATATGCTTCCATGGTCCAGAATTTTTTACGTTTATTGTTTAAGCTTTTTGTCACCCTGGTTGCGCCGTTCTAACCCATTAAGTTTATCGTTTGTCATTTCAGAGATATCGAACTTATTTGCAATGTCTCTTATGTTGGAAAATCGTACATGCATGTTGTAATCATTCTTACTTCGTTAAATCAATGATTTTCATAGCACGTGGCACAATTTCATTTATTTTCGTCCACTGTTTCACGCAAAAGAGTCAGACATTTTTTTTTTCACGTTTCTTCAATTTTTCAGACGGAGAAAAACTTTTTGGAAATCATTTAGTTATTGCATTGGAAAAATTACAATTTCAATTCAATTGAATTCAATTAATCAATTACAATCTTTACTGGTAAAAATTATCTATATTTCAGAAAATATTGCTTGCATTATTATACAGTAATTGCTTTCGGCGCGCATTATGATTACATTCCTGAAAACTTCCAGTGGCGGTACTAGAATATTTCCAAAAAAAATCTCTATTTATTAAGTTGCAATAATTCATGTTTGATCGTCCATAGATCCACGTAACTGTAAATTCCAATATTTCCATTGTACATGTACTTTGTGTAAATACCACCCCCACCCCCTGAATATTTAAATTAACGGAGAGATTAGTTGTGGATGAAACCGATGAATGATTTAAAAAGTTGAGATATTCGGCGATCTACGCCTGGCGTGCCTACATGTGGCCAATGTCTGCTTTCAGGAGCTGTCGCCTTGAAATCCTTAGAAGATACTGGAAACATTTTAAACAAATCCTTAAACATAATGCAAATGAATATGACTCGATCACCTTACAATCTGTGATCCAATGCTCTCCCAAAAATGGCGAGCAATACGAAATAAGATCGATATTAAAATAAAAATAAGATAGATATTCTGTTTCCGAGGACAAGGAGTGTCTTCTTATCATCTACTATCATTTTAAAAATATATCGACAGTGAAGATCAGCCCCACAAGATACGAAAAGCTATTCAGAAGGAAACTCTCTCTTCTTTAAAAAAAAAAGAGTAAGATATATATTTTTGCGGCACTCCTTGTATCCAATGCCGCCTTTCCCAAAAGATTTAGCAATCTTCCTGAGATGCAGAGCAGTGAAAAAGAAAAAAAATGATAAACGAAGAAAATTTACGAGAACGAATATATATTATATATTTAAGAGGAATAATAAAAAGAATAAACTAAGATGGGAAACTAAGCAATGGTCCTGCAACACAACACTGATGTATACGATTTTTCAACATGGAAATATTATATATTGTAGCTATACATATAGAACTATATATAAATAATAAATGAAGAAATGAAGATTAGTCTCTAGGCAGATTGTAACAGCTGAAGACATCATTACGAACGGCGTTGCTTTTATTATATTATCCATGATTTTAATTATTGCCATTATTATTAACGTGATTACATTTTTACAAGTGTATTATTATTATTAATTACGTCATTTGTATTGCTAATGAGGATCCTTTATCCAGTTCTTTTTTTTTTTCGGAAAAAAATTCGTCACTGAATCATGGAGAAACTATAGTGATTGGACAAGTAAATACGACATAGAATTAATTTTATTGATTAAACAAGTTAACGAGGAACACGGGGACGAGGTAAACCTACGGCGATCGATGATAAACGATTCGTAACTAGTGTTTAGGAGAAATGAAGGGAGTCCTCTTTTATTGTATAAAATGGTGAAGACGATAAAAAAAAAACAGTTGATGGAAACGCGATTGGGCGGTTTAACACTGTTGTTAATAAATATGTCGCAAAAGGAGTGTAGCTATTGGCTAAAGGTAGTATTGATTTGTAAAAGATCGTGGGTTGGCAAGAGAGAGAGAGAGAGCGAGAGAGCGAGAGAGAAAGGGAGAGAAAAGACGCGCAGGTCATTGCGGCGACAATTGCAGAAATTTTCGTGTTTACTATCTTTGGCCAATTTATCTACCCTCAATTGTTTTCTTGGTTCAATTTTTTTTTTTGAATTTGTTTTTGCGACCAGTACAAGTGCATTCGGCACAGCTAGTATACGATAAAATGAATGCCCAGGATGATGATGCATTGATTGTGTGATTATCAGACTTTGGGGCTGACATAGGCACTACCTAACATTTTAGTAAGTGATGATACAAAAAAAAAATGGAGAAAAATAACAAAAAAATGTGAATTGATCATAAGGAGAGAATTAACATTTAACATTTATGGATTCGCTGTATAAAATATATTCATATTTTTCATTCCTTCCTGTGAGAAAACACTTGAGATGAGTGAAATTTGAAATCCCTTTCCTCTGCATTCTTCACATTTTTGTCTCCGTCCCATTGACTAAATCCCCAAGTTATTTTGTTCCTTCGATTATTCATATGTTTTTGAATTGAAGTTTGTGAAGGGCACGACGTCGAGGATTCTCTGGCCAACGTTGAACGATCATTTTTTAAATATAGAGCAATGGTGGTTCGTTGGGGGGAATATAATATAATTTTTTGAGGCAATTTTATTTCCAAACATTGTTTGGAAATGTTGATGGACGGCTCAACGTTGGGGGAATTAACGATCGAGTGACCTGTGAGACGACAGTATACCACAAGATATCATTGTATCGATTGAATGCATTATGATAAACTCAATAAAAGGCTCTAAAATTATTATCTCTTGAGTTTTAATGGACTGGATGGATTTGTGGGCACTTCAGAGGTTGATGGATTTCAAAGGATTGAAATTCCCGGTTACTTTCGTTATCGACTGATGGTTATCCTGGACTTTCTATTATTCCGGGAGGATTAAGAAGGATTCACTGAAATTTAGTTGAAAATGTTTGAAATTTTCCTTGATTAGTCAATTTATCTCAAAAGCTATGGATTCCAAATGAAAATATTATATGATTTTTTTTTAGCTAATTAAATTTTCGAGAAAAAAGTTCTATCCATAGGTTTCTCGATAATCACTTAATACAAATTAATACAAATTAAAACAATAGATTCCAATTGAGTCTTAAATTTTGATTGAAAGTTATACCTAATTCAATAGGATTTTAATTGACTTGAGCAATGAAGAATATTTCGTGATAATAATAAAGAAATGATGAAAATAATCAATCGACGAAATAAAACTCCAAAATACATATGAATATTAAATATTTAATACATTATTTATTGTTTTTTTTTTCTTAAAAAAAGAATGAACTTGAAATTGGTTTTGTTCTCGGGTTTTCATTTGTTTGGATTTCTGGCGAGTAATGACTGGGTATTTCTTTTCCTTTTTTTCGAAGCGACAATACACACTAATTTTGCAAATTGAACTAGCTATTTATATATGCATAATATTTATGTATAAGGTAGGTACTCCGATACTGCGTAAATACATAGTTTTTAATAATGCATGTTTACGTTTCTCTTAAAATTCATTTACCTCTCACTCTCACGCTCAATGTCGCCATCTCCACACTCAAATATAATGTAATCATTGGTTAATAATAATTATCTCTCACACTTCGTTCACCTAAATCCGCAAGACTTTCTCCAATTTCCTTACGTTACGGCAGATGCGTCGTTTAAGAATAATACCTCTCAAATAATTCATCCACCTCTCGTCAAACAATATCCAACAATATTAAACGAAGCTCACGCCTAAGTCACCTCCTCTGGCCCCTTCTACATCTCATTAATTACTTTAATTTACATTCCTCGCAGAAAGAGTCAATTTCTAACGGCTCCTGGAGATGACTTACGCGTTACTATACAATATTCATTTATATAAAGATACAATCTTTCATCGAGAAACAAGTTTTCTTCATGCAAACTCCTGCCTCCTGCATTTCACACTGGACTTGATGTAAAGAGAAAACAAATTACGGAACTTCCGCACTTGTACTGAAGTTTCAAGGAATTGATGATTATAGGATAGTTTTCCCTGAACTTTCCTCACTATCATTAACTTTCATAATATAATCCGAATTAAATTCCTTCTCCCACGGATTTTTCCTGGAAAACAATGATTTTTCAATTACACAATGCCCTGAAACTTCAGTACCAAAATCTTTTTTCAACAAGTGCTTGAGTTTCACGTACAAATTCGCATGAAATTTGTCGAACTTTCATGTTTATTATGGCATAATTCATATAAGTTTCTAATTTCCATGGATTTTTCCATGGAATAATTGGGAAAGAGGGTAAAAATGATTAATCAATGCTAATGATTGATGCAATACTTAACTTGAGCGAGAAAAAAACTTATTTCTCACATCAACGTTCACCTCCGACTTCATTTAACCCCTATACGGTTTATTTAAATGTAGGTTTATTCAAAGTTAAAGCTTTCAATGGTTTATCTTCTTTAAATTTCATATATAGTTTTGTTCATTAAAATTTTTTATAACAACGGGACTGCCGCGTAAATCTGAGGCTTTATCGCGGCGCACACACGAACAAAGTCATCTTCGTTTATTTTTAATATACCTCAAAATGCAATCATCCGACATTCTCGCAATGACACAGACTAGCCATTAATCTTTCACACACGTCACCCTACGGTTTTTTTTTTCATCTGCCACAATATTGCGTCTCATTTCAGCATTAAACTACACTCTGAGTTTTGATTCTTATGAGTTGAAAATGACTAGAATGGTTACTCAATAAATGCAGATGCCGCTGATTGGTATGTGTTAATTTTCCCTTGCCACCTTGCGAATTTGTAATCTTCTTTTCTATCAACATTAGTTATTAAGGCAACACTTTATTACAATTTAATGATTCGTAGGATACAACTCTTAAAATTCATCTCAATCACTCCGATCGAGCGATTTGACATTTTTTCAAATGGACAAGGCCGAAAGATTCATTAATTTCTCTTCCTACGCGCCAATTACCGAACGATTGTTGAAGCAGCGAGTGGTTGTCTTTTAATTTATTAAAAATTTAATCATCCTAATTAAATACATCTTATTCTCGACGCAATCTGCCACCGGATATTAACCAATATATCCACAACCAATACATTGTTTCTTCATTTTTCATCTCACTGAACATTTTAATTGAATAACAATATTCAGCGACCGAGCCTTGATTGCCAGGCGCACAAACAACATCACAAGATTCAAACTCACTGAAAAATAGTTAAGGGATGAAAAACGGGGAAGAGAAAAAACAGGGATTGGTGACACAAGAGTTATTAAAAACGACAAAAGAATGATAAATAATAGACATGCGATTATTAATAACGTAACGCGCATTAAATATCCGTTATTTAGAGATCGAAGTGTCGATTATTTGCAAAAGTATGAAATTCTACCGAGTTTCCTCATTATATTTCTTCTCTTTTTTTTTTCATCAAGTCTAGTGACATAGTGTGATATTATTATCAACAGGGTATTTTATTTATCAATTTACTTTAAATAAATTAGTGGTATTTTTAAATTGTTTTTATAGTCAGTGTTAGTTCAGCTTCACGATCATTCACACCATATTTATATTTATATAATATCCATGTGTGTATGTACGTGTATTTATACGTGTTATTAATCTGCATTTTTCAATTATTTATAATATTTATATATATATATATATATTTATATATAGATAAGTAGAAAAACCCTTAACGTAATTACGTTTTTTTTTTCTGTTAAATAATCTTTTTCATTTCATCGTTATTAAATTTGTAAGTAATGAAATACGTAATGCTAGATTTTCTTTAGTTTGTTCATATTTTAATCGATTTATTAAATTTCAATCGTCTCTCACTAGTCGATAGGTTTCACCGTTTACTTTTCACTCTCTTCTGTTGATGGTGAATCGAAATATTATGAGTGTATTTTTTTTTAAATCTTTTAATTTTTATTCGTGAACAAGTTTGAAATTTGTTTTATCTAGTTTGCGTTGAATACTTTGAGTCGAAATCTTTGTTTATCGTGTGAGATTTCTCACCGCATTTGAATTCCATTGGTTTTTATTATTATTCGATTCATTTTATCGTGGTTTATTCAATCATCTAGATCGGTAGCAAAGTGATGAGCTGTGATTTATCGGATTGCTGTTAATTTATTGCTAATTAGGTTATTAATTTCAAATATAGTTTACTCATCGTCGTATACACATGACTGTTGGATTTTTCTTAGTTTAATGGTAATCTGTTGTATATTTTTTTTTTCTGGATTCAATGAAATGTCAAGAGCACTGTCTAGTCGATGGAATTAGGGACAATATTTTTATATATCTCTTTGTTTTCATTTATTTTAATTCGTTTGAGTAATTTACAAAGCAACGGCACTTCTTCGGAGCTTCTCAGATGCTTTTTTTGGGAAATTTTAACTAGGAATCTTTGGTAAAAATTTTAGGATTATTTAGAGTTTTTGAAGCCATGACTCGACGATTTTTTTTAGGTAATAATATAGTATGTGTGATAGTGCTAATTTGAATATTTTCACAAGTTATCTAATTGCATTTGTTGGAGTTGATCGGCCAATGATTTATTTCCAAGTGGAATTTCGTGAGGTGGCGAATTTCTCCTGTCATCCAGCCTCAGTCACACGTTATCACGTTTTCAAATTAAACATTTACGCAATTATCTACGAGAGTCTTTTGTTTTCTCTTTTTATCCCATACGATGGCTTCTAATGAATCTCTCGATAATGAATTTAGCCTCGTTGGAATTAACATCCGGTTTAAGTACGTCTAGGAATATTTTTTCGTATTCAAGAAGTTGGTCTGCTCACGATTTAACGTCAATTTCGATTTATTATCGTAATGCAATGATGGAAAATAGGATTTTCATTCCAATATCCATCTCTTTTGCTCTCTTTAGAGTCATTAGCTCTCATTTTGCAATTCCTCCCACAGTTATGCGTTATAATTAATATTAAATTCGAGTATTACAAACACATCGAGGGAGGGAAAGGGCGATCACAGGATTGAGCCCTTCGCGATAATACTTCACTCTCCAGAAATCACGACAGTTATCTCGCAGTTCTCTCTACGATTTGTGGGTTAATATTTATCACAGAAAAATATTTTTACGTAATATTTTAAGCTTTCGGATTTTCCCCTGTGAAACTCGACGGTTACATTACAGTTGCTCTATGATTTTCTCGTGGTTTTCATCTATCTTTTTCATGGTGTGAAGTACGATTGAGTTTATAAAGCACTTGAGGGAAGATTCACGCGATTCTGGTGAATGTTCACGATTTCGGGCCTATATTCAGAAAAAATACGGATTCACTGCACTGGGTCGAAGAATTCCTCTTGAAATTTCCCAGAAAAAATCACATTTTAAATAAAAACTTTTTTCATCAATGTTTTCCTAATAATGTTCAATAATAATAATGATAACGATAATAAATATTTTAATAATTTATTACTCATGTTTTCTCTTGTACGTTTTTTGCGTATTCAATGAAATTCCAATTTTTAATAAATTCGTAAGCCTGATAAGAAATTCCGCGAATATGTTTAATTTTAGATGAAACACAATTGTATAAATAATTCACGTGATTCTCTCATGAAATTCCAATGAATTTCCAACAGTGCAAAAGCAGAGAAATGTTTAATAAAAATTATGGAACCTGAGTTCGCTTACCGATTACGTAAGAGACTAAGAAAATTAATGTATCGTAATTACGGATTATTACTGTGACACAATTCCATAGTAATTCCGTACAATTTTCCTTACTCGCTGTTCGCTCGGGAATTGCAGAAAAGAACGATAATTTTTATTGTATATTTTTCTCCGTGCGTTGGAATGAAATAGTTGATTGAGTAGCGAGGGGGTGAATCGCAACGTATTAAGTGCCTGCTTAATGCTAACTCGAAATATCCTGACAATCCAGCCTATTTGACACACGTACATCCGCTCGTAATGGTCATTGAAGCCTAAACAGCATTAATCTCAATGCAGAACGATAATCGCCGAATGGGATGCACCTACCTACGCAGAATGTATTCTCATATTTTTTCATCTTTAGAGTACGTGGAACATTAATCCGCAGTTTATAACCGAATAAACAGTTCTCGTACGAATGGCAGTATTTAAAATGTCTCGTTATTCCTGGATTAACGCGAAAGAGCGAAAGCTCATCTTTACGCTCATATTCTGTCTCAACTCGTTGATCATTAAATTTTCATTACGTCTCAATGGTTGCGATGCTCGTAGAGGAATTGATTATTCATAACTAGTATTAGTAATTAAGTTAAGGTATTAATTTCGGTTTAATTGGCTGGTTGAATTCTAGCCCTGGGAAAGGAATAGTTTAATGTCACGAGTGCTTTCTCCCTTTCATTATTCTGTTAAATTGGGAGTGCGAATTATTGCGATAATGAGCGTTTGTTTTTTTTTTTTTTTGGTTTAGATAAATTCGGGGAATTCTTTTTTTATTCGTTAGAGTAGGAAACTTGCGAGATTTTTCAAAGTAAAAAATATAGTAATGATGAGTTGTTATTTTTCATCTTCCAAAGAAAAGCATACGAAATGTGGAGAGCGACAATTGAAATTAGTTTTGTCTGCTTTGGGCGAAAAATCAGTCAAGTTTCCGATTCTCCACCAATCGAGTTGAGTTAGTGGATTTTAGATTAATGATTGGCACGATTGAGTGGCATTAACATTGGCAGAATTAATACCTTCAGAATTTCAACCATGTTCAAACGTTTTCCGGTTAATTTTTCGGCGAATTTGCGCGGATTTAAGCTTTTCATGATTTAATATCGAATTTCGTCGGATACACGGACGTTTGATAGTTCATCTCTAATTCCCGAAACGCAGCCATTATACCCGATAATTAATGGACAGGATGATAGAATAGCCTGACGATTGGTCAGATTTATGTTCATCGTATTCCTCAATCAAATTATCTGCCCGTGGGATTTTTCATTGAATTGAATTTCGATTGAACGATTCTTACTCTCGTGTTAGTCATCAATATTCCCCTGATTAGTTCCATGAGAATCACGTTCTTCCCATCAATTTATATTTCCTTGGCACGAAAAAACAAAATAGAAATGATAAAGAAAAATGGTAAAAATTATGTTTCTATTAAATTCATTTGTACCTCTGGAGTAATTAAAAAATGAGCGAAAATCAATGGAAATGGAATAACTTCCACAAACGTCGATTGGCCTCGGTCGCAGTATTTCGCATTATCCAAAAAACCCAGTCATCCAGGCACTCAATTTGGGTTGTGAAGAAATTTTATTTCTCGTCGTATGCAAATGTGGCGCAAATAACAATTATCTATTTGATAGAATTTATTGCTTTACGCGACAAAATTACGAATTACGAATTGCGATGAATCGTCCGATAGCCATACATGGGATGAAATAATGAATCGTCTTAATTTTTGCCGTCTGGCCAATTTTCAACTCCATTAACAATTTATTTGAAATAAAATGTGAAACAGTGATGGTCACCGAAAATAAAAACAAATGGAACATTTGCATAAAACATTATTCGTCTTAAATATTGCATAAAAAATATTAACTGATAAAGATGAAAATGACCAAAAATAATAAATAAGTATATAATAAATTTCCGAGGATTTTAACACACATAAATTATTTATATTATAAAAAAAATGATATTCACAACCCGATACACTCCATCGCTCACTAAGGATTCTAAAAAGGACATCATGTTAATTAATTTTTTTTATTTATTTTCCTCAATTTTCTTCATGAAAGTGTAGTGAAAACACGAGAGTGATATCTAAACGATGCGAATCGCATAAATACAATGTCCGTCGCCCTCAATCCCTCGACGTTCAGTATTATCCATCATTTTTTAAATGTTTTACTTGAAATTGTTTTTCCGTTCACCGAGGCCGTCTTCCGATCCCCATTTATCAATGAAAATTCACCAATTGAGCGGTAAAACAGGCCCCGGTGAGCCGGCAGTGTATCATTTAACCTATTAAATTACGCGGAGAAAAAATTTTTTAATAGAGTCTTTGTTTTATTTATCATAAGCACTTTATGTTCATTCGATTTGTTCATCCCTTACCACATATCCATTATCATTAATACCTTAATTTATATTTATCCAGTACGATAATCGGAGACGCGTCACTGACACGATTATCGGTTTTTTTTTTTATTTCAATTTTTATTATTATTTAAACTCTTCGCGTGAGAATCCGGCTCACACTATTCCGTATTAACGAGGAAATCCGGCAACTCGAGGCGCATCGCAGATACCCCTTTCCATAAATCAAATAATTATCTAAAACAGAACGATTAATTAAAATATCACGGTCCAATCCGTTGAAGCCACTGGGATCTCTCGATGTGTGAATTTATTGTATAAAAAAGTACCCCGTATTTATTTCACGAAACGGGCAAAGTGTAATGGGTGTAATGGAGTGACGTAAATGGTGGGGGTGGGGGATGGTGGGGAGGGATGGGGGAGGGCGGAGGGGCAAAACGGTTGGACCTAAATCACAAAAAATCCCTTAGAACTCGATACGCCTCGAGTTGCCCTCCCCCTTCCCCCTTTGAAAATTCATAAACACCTTAATTCATCAAATTGGCTCTACCTTCACAAATACGTATACGCATATATACATATTATATCACGTATATACAGAATTGGGAATGTCCACGTAAGGATAAATATCCCGACTCATGCGAAATGGCATTATTAAAACTGAGTGATACAATAAAACGTAGAAACCCGTTAAATAGAGAGAGAAGAAGAGGAAAGAAAATGTATTTGATGAGCCCTTCTGGTCGGCTTTCAACGCCAATGAGACAAGCGTGCGTAAGGATATGGTTATTATAATATTTTTGTTTGTCCACTTGAATGATAAAATGACAATGTGATGAGATGGATAAATAAATAAACCGGTCCCTGTGGTGTCACGCACAGACCTTGAGGCCCCTAGAATTAGCGTCCACATCACTGGACCACCGTCCAGGGTCCCACATTGGCTAGCACCAGTCATCCTCGTCGCTGTCTGAGTGCCTGGATCTTGGTGTTCTTTGTTTTTGGGGTGCACTTGGTTGCGGTTTGTAGCCATTGGGGACTGGGCTTGGTAGTAAACGTCCACCGCGTCCCATTGCAACGGCTTGCTCGAAGCTCAGGGGACAGTGACTCGACATTGCTGACATACTTGGCACATGTACACCGGATGCTGTTGGAACATGAGTTGGAGCTAGAATTCCACCTGGTGTAACGTGCTGGGCCATGTGGGGACCGTGGGTCGGTGAAGCATTCAACTTTGGAAAATTAATGTTCGCTGGTTTTAACTGGAGTGTGGATGGTTTGTTTGGCGTTGGTGGTAATCTTCTACCCTGGCCACGTCTTGTCACCAGCACTGGGTAACTGTGCTGGTGGGGATGGTGGTGGTGATGGGGATGACGGTGGTGGCTCGATTGACGTCCACCTATTGGACTTGGACTTCGTGATCTCTGCTCCAGTGATGTTGTACCGTAGTGATGGCCACGGTGGTCCATACGGTGGACTGGACTTGGTGAGCGCGCTGGACTCGTTGAGGCACTCCAGGGACCTGGGGATTTTTTTGGGGCTTTAAGAGAGATGAGAGTTAGAGTGTGGTTTTTTTGTTTTTCTTCTAGGTGTGTGGACATGCCAGGGTCAAGCGGGGTGCTCTTTATTGCAATATCCGAGGGGAGATCCACTTGGATATTGGGAAGATGAAGAGATTTGCTCGTTTTACATTGAGGATATTATTCTGTTGCCAATATTAAGTTAAGTTCCTTTCTAGCCCAGCTCTTGGGATAAATTTTTTAATCTAATGGATATAGTCAGAGCTTTCTATGAACCTCGTCTACGGGGCTTATAAGACCAACAACAAAGGTTCAACGAAAATTTTGATATCATAGAATTAATTAAATGAACGAAAGATTGGGTGAAGAAAACTCTTCAGTTAAAAGAACATTAAAAATTCAAGGTAAAAATAAAGGGAAACATTCTTTATGCCATCGGTGCCCGTAATCGCGCGATTCTAACCTCGCTTCGCTCGGTTAAATCGCGCATTCCGGGCGCGATGACATAAAATTTTGTATGAAACGCGTGCGTAATATATTTTTCGACTCGTGGGATTGTAAAACTCGCCTTCGGCTCGTGTTACAAACCCCCCACGAGTCAAAAAATATATTACGCACGTGTTGCATAATATACTACTTTGGTTCTTTAGCAAAACAAATTTGGAAATATTCCTTACGAATAATTGGATATTTGGCAAAAAAAAATTTGTCTCAATGTAATGGATAAATAATCTTTTACATCTTCCTTTGGAGGAGTTAATGTGTGACATATAGTTAAATCTGTTGGTTCTAATTCTTCATTAAACATATTCACTACTTATGTACAGCATTCTAGGCAAAACTTAGGGTGGAATACAAGTGTTGGTGTATCATTTGACATCGATTAAAAAAGCTCATGCATCTGTCTGTGCCGAGGGGTTATTCATTGTCGAATATCGCGACACAATGATTGCTGATTTCACTTGATTTCAATTTTTTTCGTAATTTGATCACACAGAACTGTATACGCTGAACAGCGACATGATGGATTCTCGGAAAATATCGATTTGGTTCCAAAATCTTGTTTGTTTCCTTTTTCTGCTGAAAAAACTTTCGCAGAGAACGAAATATGACAAGTAGCTTCACTGATTTTGAATGATTTTGAGTTATTTCATTTTCTCATGACTTCACATAATTTCAGAACGAATTTTATGTGATTACAATCCAAGGTGACAGTGATTTCACCAATGAACTCCCTCGGTCTGTGCGACAATCAGTGTATCCACGTGTATTCCCATAATTATATTATTAAGAGCAGTGTTTATTGCTAAACTAGAGTGTTATGTTGTATGTCTCTGAGATTTGATAGGAAAAAAAATGCCCCGTTTGTGGTACAAGTGTTGTGCTGTCTGAGGTAAATATAATAATCCAGCAAAAGCTAAACAACAAATAGAAATAAATTGAAAAGTAGTTCAAAGAGGATAGTAATGAATCTTTGATTTTCTTTCTTTCATGAAATAAAAGGAATTACCATCGTCGTAATAGTCGCAGTGGTCGTAATAGTCTGTGTAGAGCGCATAACCCAAAAGAATGAAGAAAAAACGTATTACATCGAGTAAACACACAGAGCATCAATTGCTTCTTGCGAAGAAACCATTTATAGCAAACACATTCATATCAATGAATTGTTCATCGGTTTGGCTTTTTTTTTAGCATTGAATCACTTTTTCTCCGCTTTTTGTACAGAGTATGTTGGGTTTATCGAATTGTGATTCTCAGCTCACGAGTTTATCACTTTACACACGATAACTATCGATTTATTTTGGGTCTTGCTATTTGGATTTTACCTCTTATTCGGTGACGATGATTGTACTGTGAATGATGGGGTGTATGTGTATGCCTTTGAATTTCCACGACGTTGCTGACTGCATCGCTGAAACCAGGTCCTTCGTGGTACGGTTGATGGTGATGATGATCGAATCGCGCTCGTCGCGATGGAGATGGCGATCTGTGAATGGGCGAGTGTCTTCTGTAAATTCATTATAATCATTTTGAATACGTGTTCACAATTTTTTGCATCTCAGACTCTTAAAAAGCTCAATTATATTGTCGATTGTTTCGCTAGTCTCAACTTCATACAGTCGTGAGCATCTTCATGTACTGTTCAGAATTTTATACTGAATTCTCCGAGTTTTACGGAATTTTATGATTGAAAAGTTGTTCCCGAAGGAAAATATATGGAAACTGAATTTCAATTGAATTATAATAGGAAAATTGTCGAAAGTTAGGGAAATTATTATAGTTCTTATGATGGCAATTTCCAAATTTCTTCTCCAAAAAAATCAGAATGATATTACATATTTTTAAAGAAACTTGCAGTTTTTTTAGATTTGTTATCCTTAAAATAACATAAATTTGAAGATAAATGTCTTGAAGAATGAAAATACCTTAAACTTGGTGAACGTGAATGATGTCTTGGCGGATGCTGCACATGTTGCGGATGCAGCCTATCCCCTTGCGTGAGGCTTTCCAAACTGCCTGCCCTCGAATCACTAACTATGATATCCTGAAGGTCCTTTAAATATAGGAAGAAATTCATATGAGATGATTATAACACTTTTCCACATCCTCTAGGTATTTTGTCTCTCGGGATGACTCGAAAACCTGGGGTATCGTTGATTCCTTTGTCGACATTTTTCATTTCAATAAAAATCTCATGATTAACTCTTCAATTTATGATAAAACGCCTTTTGCCTCGTCGTGACTGCGTACCTCGCACCTACAGAAGAGCATTTCTCTACTCGATCTTTACGTTTACTCAAAAAACTCCCTTAACGAACAGCTGTTTAAATTCTGCATCTTCTGGAGATCGAAATACGCTGAAGACTCACGAAATACCTCAGCGTCGAAGTAGAGAGCTCAATAACAAAAAAAATAGAGTGGAGAAACTAAGGGAAAAGGTTCTGAATACTTGTTAGAATGATTAAAAATGTTCGTGCATAGAGAATGATTAAACATGCACATGCACTTGAACATCTGGATTGCGATGATAAAAGGGAATGTAAAAAAATAGTTAATTGCCTGCTCAACTCCTGTGTTCTATCTCCTCGTGAAACATTTAGATACATTACTTACCATTAGGCAGAAACTTATACATAAAAAATATGAAAGAACACATTTTAAAAATCTGGACTAATCCAGATTTTTTTCTCTAATCTTTATTTGGCAATGAAAGCAGCTAGGGAAGGGTCATCGTTTTCTAACATATTACCGAATAATTTGACTCTATGGGTCTCCTCGTTTTTCTAAAAACGCTAGCTAAACTCAAATCTTCACCACAAGGTAATTGCTCTCCATCTGGGGATGATTACCTTGTGGCGAAGATACTAGTTTTCAGGGCCATGTGTTTTCTATTGTAACTGTGTTCAATGACTAGACTGTTATCTAAAATTTCTACCCACAATTAAACTGACCATTTCTGCAGTTCTCTGAGCTGATTTATCTATAGAGATATCTCATCTAGAAAATATACTTCAGTTAGGACGTCTATGATCGAAAAATCTAGCAACAAAAATTCAAGGTACCACCAAAGGAAAATTAATCCACAAAAATAGTTTGATAAATGATCAATTGAGTCTTTCTCCTTCTTACGAAACTCGACGATCGAGTGATAATTGGTAACAATTAATTATTGATAAACAATAGCCATTGGAATAAGATAAGAATAAGAACTAAAGGGCAGGTGGTTTTTTCTTTTTTTTGGTAGAAATGAATGAAAATAATGAAAAATAAAGGAAATAAATGGAAATAATGATAATGGAAATATCTCTGGTTTGACTAAATTGATTTGATTTTTTTTTGGACCGAGCCGACACCTTGAGGTAACGGATTGAGGAGCGAGGTGCGTAGGTGTTCTGGTGTTGATAGTACGAGGGTGGTCGGTGATGATGATGGTGGTGATGGTAGTATTGATCATTGTCGGTATCGTAGTATTGGTGATGATGGTAGTGGTCCTGGGAGGACTCTGCCAGCAATGGCTCTAACTCGGGGCCACGTTCATCGCCGTTAACTACAACCCCAGACCCACCCCCTCCCTGGCTACTCTCTCCGCTGCTCCCTAGTTTATCGTACTGGTGGGACATCTTCCAGTTCACCTTTTTGTTTCTGCAATCATAATTTTTTGTTACTCCATTAGAATACTGTAGCAATTGGTATAAAATTATCAATTCACTGAGTCACATTTTTCTCTCTATTTTTTATGACAAATAAGTTGCAAATGAAATGAGAAAAATCATGAATGACAGACCTGATGCTACGCTGACGTCTTTTCTCGGCAGCAGCAAGAACCCCAAGGGCTCCCTCCTCCTCTTTGGGCTCCTCGAGGTCTGTTTTTCCATCGACCGGTGGCTCAAGACTGTTTAATCGGCTTCCATGATGATTGCCAGCGTGATTAACCCCAGCCATGTCCATCAGGCAGGTGAAGAAAGAAGAGCGCTGTTCGAACGTGTCAAACCCGTGTCAGACTCGGCACATTGTGTCATAATTCTTATTTTTCAATTTGCTATTCAATTAGATATTCACACGCCTGACTCCAATGGTCCACGACATACAGGCTTTTACCGTGTCCACATGGACATCTGTGTGCATCAAGCCGCAGTCTCTTTCTCTCCTCGATCAATTTCTTCACATTCCTTTTTTTATCCGCGTCCACTCCATCCAAAATTCCAAATCGTGGAATCGTATTTATTATTCTTCCATCACTTGCTCTGATTTTTTGTGCAACACGGTGCATTAATATGATATCGTGATTAAATATAGACAAGAAATATGTGAGAAAACTGGAGCGAGATCGAGAAAGAGACATTACACAGGTAATTTATTGTGTGATAAAGAAGTAAATTGTTGATTAATTATTTTCATTGATTATTTTGCATTGAAACCATGCCACAAGTAGAGTGTCGTGGTATTTGTGCAATGTGTTATTATTTGAATATTGAGAGATTTTAAATAGAAAGCATGAATTAATGTCGAATTGAAGTGTCAAGAGATCGTTTCGTGAATTTCAATTGCCAAGTGAGCTCGCAGAGACGTTAGAATTTTGTGGTTAAATTTTCGTGCACATCATACATAATATCAACGTCTCCGCGAACATTTCGGCATTCTCGAAATTTTTTATAAAGCCTGTATGTTTATTTAAACAGCTAGCTTAAACTGTTTAATTGCGTGACATAAATCTGTGGACGTTTTTATGTGATACGTAATATAACGGGACGTGAATTGAATAGAATATGTAGGAGTAATATAATCATTGACAGATTGAATTAATGCAGTTAATTTTAAGCATGCAGATTTAAATTTTGTCATCGATTATCATCTTGAGATGATGATCAATGCAATTGAAGTTAATTAGTCAAGTCCAGTTGCGCACGCAAAAACATTACACTGGTAGAATCGTTTACTCTGAAATTTGGGGAAAATGCTTGAAATATTTAACAATGATATTCATACACTAAATCAATTTGGGAATTCAAAGGACAGATAGAAAAATTTGTAGTAGAATTTACCAGGGCGCTTAGCAATTAGAAAATAAATAATATTAATAGGGTTTCCCCTTTATTCTACTTTTTACTTTAATATCGCAGGAACAAAACGTAATTTCAATTGATATAAAAAAATTTATGTGGGATTGCAATTCTTATAATTTTTTGAGTAAATCTTCCACTGAAGTATTCGGACCTTTTCCCAAAAATTGCGATTGTAATTGCATTTCTAAAAACCACTAAACGCAGACAAAGCCCCCAGGCAAATTTCACTACTAAAGTTTCTCCATATAAAGTGTAAATTATCCGAAATTTGAAAAAATGAGATTGAGTTGGATTTAAATACCAGTGTATCATCAATTGACAAAACAATGTATCAAGCCGATACCAAATAGTCACAAACACAGCCGGCGTTCTAAACTCCCTACCTTGTACACACACATAAACTTGATAAAAAAAATTACCAAAAATATCATTCAAAACATGCCTAAGTATTACAAGTGGTCAATGTGATTAATCGTATTGGCAGAGTAATGATTTCCTGATTGATAGATATTCTCTTAAATCAGTGAATTAAGTGAGTGAGAGGTCAGTGATAATAATTTCGAGACATCCTTAACCCAATATAATTAACTCGTGTAATCAAAAAAAGGGAATATTGCCAGGGAGTAATTCGTAAAAATTGTTAAGTGTGTCAGTGTTGTTGATGCACAAGGAAAGATCAAGCGAGATCTACTCATTACTCGACAGAAACCAAAATCTATTCTCGGTTAAGACAGATTTTCTAAACTACTCGGAAAAGGTGATAAAATGCCCAAGTCAATTCCACGTAATTGTCTGTAGTCAGCACAAATGAGCGATCGGACAAGAGCAAAAGGACAAATAGTGTCTAATTCGATCTAGAATCATTCTAATAATAAATTGGTTCAACTAGGAGGTTTTAATCTCTTTTTTTGTTATAAATATGAATAATTTTATCTAGGGAAGGGGAGAGGTTGAGGCAAAAGGCGAACTAGCTTTTGCTGCGTCGAATTGTTTGTATTCCATCTACTGAGGCTCTGGCTAGGTGCCTGGGTTATTTTTTTTTAATCATTGCATTAGGATCTTTCTTTTGGTCTTTACTTACACCGCATTATTTTCTTTGAAACGTTGAATCGCAAAGGAAGAACGAGCGTACTTGTTGCGAAAAGCGTTGACACTTTTGCCGCACTTTAGTACCCACGTTACGATACCAGATGGTTGTATATGAATTTTACAATTTTATACATTATTTTCAGGGTTTTAGAATTCATCACTCCTGCTTGTACCAAATGTTACAATAATTTATTAATTTTTCAACGGATTAATGTATAAAATTGTTAAATATTCAGCTGGATATCTTTTGAGTGGAGAACACTATTGGAAGTACCTTCTATCAAAAAAGAATACATTGAGTTTTGAGGGGTAAAACTCAATACCATCTCCATTGACGGATTTTCTAAAATAATTCATCTATTCTATTGAGGTATTAATCTATTCTGAGTGTTTTCTAGAGGGATCTGTGGGTGATTGTGTAGTTTGAGTGGTCGTAGTTGTGATGACAATGATAAAGAAATTAAAGACTAGAATTGAAATAAAAATCTTAAACTGTACAATAAGAATGACTCCTAGGTTTTTTTATACAAGATATAAATCAATATAAAGGAGAAGTGCAAGTCTGGAATGTGCTAAACCCAAAATTATTCAAATTATGACTGTTTTTGACAAATAATGACTCTAGAAAACATGAGAAATTGGAGTGAAAAATATGATAGTGTGTGTGAGAAAAACTGGTAAAAGTACTACCGCCTGGGCTGTTGGACTTTGCCCGGCACTATCGTTATCGTTAGTCTGAAAGAAATAGAGAAGAAAAAAAAAGAAGTATAAAAATAAAGATGACTGAGAGAGTATGAGGAAGGGCAATCATTTCTCTTGCTCGTATTGGGCTTGTTTCACGTAATTTTCCACATGATTTCCAATCCTCCTTACTTATAGACACTTCAACTATGGCCTAAAATCTCCTAGTCTAGCTAGACAAAAATTTTATACGTAATATCCTTTTGTACTCTGATACATATTAATGTCTCGAACTTTCTTCTTGTGGAGGAATAAAAAATAACGGGCAACACTCAACACACATTATTATCTATTATTTATATTAATCATTCACAACCCACATTTTCCTAACTATTTAACTCGATGTCTGACGAAATTCTTCCTATTCTACTGAATGTCTTGATGATTCGGAAAAAAACGTGATGGAATTGAAATTGAAATTCAATAATATTATCACATCAGAATATAGATTGATAGTATTATTTTTTTGTTCAATGAATATTTGTTCCACCCAAATGAAATTTTTCAATTGATTCTGTTATTTATAATAAATATTTCACGTTTTTTTTTCAATGACAGAGCGATATTTTCTATTGTACACTGTCAACATCACACTGAAATAATTGTAGAGAATAGTCGATTGGTCTCGATGGATTAATATTGACTGATTCACTAATGATTTCCATAACGTAACCACTGATTTTTCACTTATTAATTAACAGCTGTACCTCTCATTCAAGAAACAGAGAGAATGACACTAAATGAAAAATCGATGATATGCGAATCTCCCTGGTTCATCTGACTATTGAATGATTTTCAGCGCTACGATACGCGGAGAAAAAAATACTGGAAAAGGTGTACGTGAAAATTCCGTAGAAATCGAAAAAATTCCTACACGGTATGAAAATTACCGTAAAGTACCGTAAAAGTACCGTAAAGTTTCCGGTGAAAATAATAAAATTTACTGGCCGTCCCTTATTTTTATCATTATTGTAGATAAAAATGACTGCATCATTCTTTGGCCCACGATTACGTGACTAGTCACATATTTTTTCCTGTATTTTTTTCTCTGTATATATTTGGCACATCAGTGAGAAACATTGTGGATGGAGATTCAGGATATTAATTAACTCTCAATAGTAATTCGGCATCTAGCCAACTGAACGTATTTTGCTCTTGATTTGTTGAGAATTAATTAACGGAGTGGGTGACTAAAACACTACGGGATCACTCACATCGCTAATTTCAATGATTATCCTCGCATCAGCGTTCAATTCCTACGATGAAAAAGCGAAAGACAACATTCATTCGATCAATCTTCGTCATGTTTCATCATGTTTCGTCATTTTTCAAAAATTTCAAATTTTTAAAGTTCAGCGAATACCTCTTCGATTCTCATGTTCTCCTGATACTTTTTCAAAAATTTCGAATTTTTAAAGTTCAGCGAATACCTCTTCGATTCTCATGTTCCCCTGATACTTTTTCAAAAATTTCGAATTTTTAAATTTCAGCGAATACCTCTTCGATTCTCATGTTCTCCTGATACTTTTTCAAAAATTTCGAATT